AAAAAGAGAACAAGAAAGAAACTATTAAAGATCTCCCCAAAATGAGCCAGGTAAGAAAGGAGTATGAAGGTTTCCAGTTGGATCATTGGCAGCTTAATGGAATTCTGCAGTATATGCAGCCATTGTGGCAATATGTTCAGTCCTTGTCCACAGCTTTCCCTGCTGTTCTGGTCTGGTGAGCTTTAGAACCTCTAATTCCAGACATTTCCAATGAATTCTGCAGCAGGTATGGAAAAACTGCTTTGTATCAACCAGTCAAATGTAATGGATTCACTCAGCCTCACAGACCAGTTTTTCCTGTAAGAACTGCACTCTGTTTTCCCTCCAGAGCAAGATATTTCAAATGTTCCATCAGTCACAGAAACTTGTTCAGATTTTTTGGTTTTGCATTGCTTTGAGTTACAGCTGCTTGGTGGAGAGTAAAGAATGTGGTTACAGAAGAGAGAATCAGATGACTGGTGTGATCTTTCCTGTCTCTGATTTCCTTGATGGGTGCTACTTAAACCAGTTCAAAAATGCTTAAAAGCTGACCACAGAAGAGTAGCAGAATAGAAGTAAAACTTCAGGTTTTCTTAGCATTAGTGAATATGTGACTACTCTGTTCATCTGTCAGCAGAAAACCCACCACTATTAAATAGCTAGCTGTGTCTCAATTTAGCCACAACAGAGAGGGGGGGAGTTAGTCTGTGTCAGACTATTCTGAATCAGTGCAATAGTTGCCACTTGGAAGGGAGGCAAATAAGCAATGAGTCATTTGAGATGGTGCCTGTTGCTTCATCTGCCACTGACAACATTTTTCAGTTTGATACATGATTATTTGGTCTTTGTCTTTTAAAGGAACAGTTCATAGAGTTATGCAAGACCCTTTACAACATGTTCAGTGAGGACCCTGTAGAGCAGGAACTGTACCATGCCATCGCCACTGTGGCCAGTCTACTGCTGAGGATTGGGGAAGTTGGAAAAAAATTCTCCAACAGGCCCACAAGGAAGTCTGAGGACTGCAAAGCAAACAGTACCCAAGATCCTGTGAGTGAAGAGGAGTCACCAACATCTGAACAGAGTCAGAATTCAGCAGTGGAGCAGCAGCCCCAAGCTGACCATGAGGACAAAGCCAGCGTTGATGCTCAGCCTGAAAAAACCCAGCAGGAAAACCAAACTCTAGGAGATGGCTCAGGGGAAGGACAAGGCTCTCCTTTACAGCTGCTATCAGATGATGAAACCAAAGATGATATGTCCATGTCTTCCTACTCCATGGTCAGCACGGGCTCCCTGCAGTGCGAAGACATCGCGGATGACACGGTGCTGGTGGGCTGTGAGGGCAGCAGTGCAGCTGCCAGGTATGGCAGCACCATTGACACTGACTGGTCCATCTCCTTCGAGCAGATCTTGGCCTCCATGCTGACAGAAACAGCCCTTGTAAACTACTTTGAGAAAAAAGTCAACATTCTTCAAAAGATCAAGGATCAGAAGAAGGTTGAGAGGCAGTTCAGTTCATCCAGTGACTATGAACTTTCCTCTGTGTCAGGGTGAACTCAAGAAATCAGGAGTTGTCCTTGGGAGATAAAATAGGAAGATAGTGTGGCAGATGGCAGGATGGTTTGGTATTTTCTGTTCGGGGTTTTTTTTTTTTGTTTATTCAGAGACCGGTAACTACACAATTACAATAGAATCCAGTGGATAAGGGGCTCCTGACAGTGACTGTGTAGGTATTTCTTTGGTTACTCTGGCTGAGAGAATTAGATTTACATTCTTGAGAGCCATTAGAACCTAATAGCCCGTGACATATAGAATTACCACCATAAATTATGCATGTCTGCCTTTTGCTATCTTTTATTTCAATGAAGTTTTATTTCAGGCAGTAACTGCTCCTTGCCTGCCCTTGTTTGCTGTAAGTTCCTGGGTAACTTGCACAGCAGATGCAGCCTGGCTTGAAACCATGTTCACCTCTGGCTGCCAGTCCAAGAACTAGTGCAGTGTAGTCAAGTGCTGTAGGACTCTGACCTATAAATAATCTTGTACGTTCCTGTAAGCTGTTTTGTGACTCAGCAGCTATAAAGCAAATGTGCCCACTGCTCCCAGCACTCTTAAGACCTAAACACAGACCTGCAGGTTTCTTTCACATGTGATTTGGCATTTTCATAGTGTACGATCACTTACTTGCTCCTTCACAATTCAGGAATTTTCAGGCAAGCCTGGTTTTCTAGCATTTGCTTTTCTGTTTCTTTGAAAGCTATTGTTTTTAGTTTGTCTGGGAAGCCACAAGCTGCTTGACTTCAGTGCAGAAATGATACTGAGTCAATCACTGGGCCGTGATGGTTATAATGAGGGAATAAGTTCCTAAAATAGAAGTCAGTGAATCAGCCTCAGCATTCCAGGGGAGTCTGGACTGGAGCATTCCACTGGTCTGCTGGACTTTCCCTGATGATACATTCACTATTTAGAGTTGATTCCCTGTTTTTCCTAGCTAGTGATGGGTCCCCTAAGGGGGACTTCTTAGGAGGAAGACCTTAGGGGCCCTTTAGGAGGACTTCCAAAGCATAATCTGATCAGTCAGCCCTCACAAATGCTTGGGGCAGAAATTGTGCAGGATCACTGTGCCACCCACTGCTGCTCAATGTTCTTTCTTGAGAGTTCAGCAATGGACATGCTCGTAGAAACTACTGCACATCCATGGGCATTTGACCTAAAGGGGAAGAATACAGAGCAGGGTGGCTGCCATCAGCCCCTTACGGGAACAGCAGAGCTCATTTCAGTTAGAGACAAAGTAACTGGGAGACTTAGTGAGTGATCTTGAAATTAAAGCCAGAGGAAACTATGAGTAGCAGGGTGGGTTCTCCAAGGGAGGACAAGTAATGCTGTTACTACAGATAAACTCATCTCAGCAGGGAAGCAGTGCCCTTGCCAGGGGCAGGGCCAGAGTCCTGCTGCTCGGCCAGAGCAGACCCTGCACTGAAGGCAAGGTTTGATCCAGCTTTTGACTGGCACTTGGGATCTAAAGGTAGGAAGGACACATGTGGATGTTCCTATTTGACACTACTTGGTGTGCTACTCAGTGTTAATTCATCCTCATGACATTTTTGGTCTGTATTCACAGCTGGTACATACTTCTTATTTCTCTGCCTCCTCTGTCCCATATCTCTGGAGAGCAGCCATTAGTAAAACTGCTTTTACTAATTATTCAATAATTTATTGTATTTTTTTTAAAGTACAAATAATACATGTGGATTTTACAGTGTCTGTCTTACCTGTCATGTATTCAATAAATGAATCAGAATCCTATAGGCTATTTGGCTGTCTTTTATTTCTCTCTGAGCTCGTGGAATATTGCTGGTTCTTTACCCAGTTATCAGAAGGAATGTGTCACCAAAACTGTGGGGGTAAAAAAAAAACCCTCCAACAACATTTTTAGTGTTAGATAATCAAGGCATTATATTATTCTGTCCAGGGTGTGCAAATAATTTCATCAACACATAGCCCAGGTGTTCAGAGAAAATCCTTCCATGACATACAGCTCTTAAATAGATTTTTCAGAAACTTATACAGTCAAAACCCATAGAAATTAATTTGTTCATTGGTCCCAAGTTACACAGTTTTTAGTATTTGGTTTTTTCTGGTTATGGAGTTCTCCACATTCCTTGGTTCTCCTACCGGTCTTTTCCGGAGCAGGTGTTGCTGACCATGCCAGGGGTGATGTTTGGAGTCGATGGTCGTTAATGGTCATTACCTTCTGTGCTACTCCCAGTCTGCTGAGGTGTTACTTCATCACGTCTTGAGTGATGAAACAATCCTTTGAAAAGAAACCTAAAATTCCTTTCCCCCAGAGCAAAGGCAATGATAAAGATATACTAAAAGGATATATTTCTAAAGATATAGAAAAAAATTTAAACTTGGTATATTTTCCAACAAGTGGACTTGGTGTGACTGCACTCTGACTT